CTCTCTACACCCTCCTTTCAGGGAGTTGTAGAGAGCAATAAGGTCTCCCCTCAGCCTCCTCTTCTCCAGGCTGAACACCCCCAGCTCCCTCAGCCTCTCCTCATAAGACTTACTCTCCAGACCCCTCACCATCTTTGTCGCCCTTCTCTGGACCCACTCCAGCACCTCAATGTCTTTTTTATGGTAGGGGGCCCAAAACACAACAAACCCTAGGAGTTACGGACAGGGCACTGATGCTTATTTCCTAAATATCCCCCCACCCCACCCCAAAACGTGCTTGTCTCACGTGCTTGTTTCCTTCTGTGACTCTCCCCACAGGAGCTGGTGACCTGACTGGGGATGCCATGGGCTATGTGACAGGCGTGCTGGCCGTGCTGATACACGCTGCCTACCTGGTGCTCATTCAGAAGACCAGTGTAGACAGTGAATACGGACCCCTGACAGCTCAGTACGCCATCGCCGTTTCAGCCACCCCTTTTCTCATCATCTGCTCCTTTGCCAGTATGGATTCCATCAATGTCTGGTCCTTCCCGGGCTGGAAGGACCCTGCCATGGTGTGCATCTTCATCGCTTGCGTCCTGATTAGCTGTGCCATGAACTTCACCACCCTTCACTGCACTTACATTAACTCGGCCGTGACCACCAGCTTCGTCGGGGTGGTGAAGAGCATAGCCACCATCACGGTGGGCATGGTGGCGTTCAACGACGTGGAGCCCACCAAGTTGTTTATAGCCGGTGTTGTGGTCAACACCTTGGGGTCTGTCATTTACTGCGTGGCCAAGTACATCGAGACCAGGCGGCAGAGCAATTACGAGGACCTGGAGAAAGAAGCTAGAGAAGAGGAAGGGACAAAGCACGCTGGGGACCAAGCACTGTTTGCGATGGAGGTGATTTCCCAGGAGAAGGGGGCTGAGGAAGCAGCAGTGGAAGGATCAGCCACGGGGGACAGCCAGGGTGGAGAAGAAGAGAAGGACAGCCTTGAGAAACCTGCCAAGGGACCGGTGGTCCAGGAGAAAGCCACCGGCACACAAGAAGTGAACAGGAGCTGGCTGAAGGATGCCTATCTCGGAGTATGGAGGTTGGTGAGGGGGGCTAATTATATAAAGAAGGATTATTTGATAGAGAATGAAGAGCTACCAAACCCTTAAAAAGCGGGTTTGAAAACCCACTGCTTGAGGAGACAGACACCTGGTTCTCTGTAGAGGGGGAAAGGCAGAGCATACATTTCCACATCAATGCTGAGGAACCCAAATCCCGTAGGATGACTTTACCTCATTGTCAAAAAGCAACAGGTCAGAGTTTGCTCACGCTTTGGGCTTGCTTTCAGCTGCTTGCAGTCCATCCGTTCAGACCCGCCACAGCTAAAGGTGCCGAGTCCTCCACGGTGGACACGGAGAGAGTTGGGTCTTAGGAAGTCACGGGGTGTTTGCCCAGCAGCCTGGGCCACGGGGGGACATCAAGTATACCGTTGAGTGGCAGTGACACGGTGGTGGCCTGTAGCTTAGCTTGTGTCTGGAGCCTTGTGATCTCAACAGCGTTCGGAGGCTCTGTCAATGTGCTTCCGTATCCGTGTCCGTCCAATTATAGGTACTCTATATCAATATATTCCTACAATATATAAGCTCCCATTAACTGTACTTCTGTGTGCTCCTCAGCGTCAGTACAATCGCAACAGAGCTAGAGGCTGGGCCACTTCACTCATGTTGGGGTCAAATCACCCTCTTAACTGAAGAATTGAAACTCTCCCTGACCCTGTGGCAGGGCTGGACCTTGGAGACCTGGTTTACATGGGGTGGGGTTGTGTCTTCAGTAGAAATACTTCTGTGGGGCGGTGGTGCACGTGAGAGCAGAACCACATCTGAAGCTTTGGTTAGCAAAAGGAGGATGTTCTTCTCTGAGCTTTAACTACACGTAGCAAATTGGGAACAGTAGCTTGACCCTGATAAAAGAGTTCGGAAGTGTTGGCATGTATTCATTTGATTTGGGAGGGCTATAAAAAAATAAAAATAGGGAGAAAGTGTGTGCCTTGTGCTATCCCCTCCTTGTACCCTAAAGTCAGGTGGATCAGAGCCTGGACTTCTGGAAACTAGGTGTCCCCATGGGCTGTGAGGGGCAGAGCTTCCTCTCCCCCCATGCCCGTTCCAGCCCTCCCATGGGAAGCAGATGCTCTAATGCTAATATTTTGTACCAGGGGAATGGGGAAGAATGGGGAAAATAGGCATTTGAGTGCTCCTTAGCCTGGGGACATCCTTTTGGGAGGCAGGGGGTCCTTGGGGGCAAACCTTTGCTCGGAACCAGGCAGAGAAGAGCTTTAACTGCCAGTCTTCCTGGTGCCAAAAGGGTGCCCCAACCATCGGGCACCAGGCCCGATGACGCCATCTTGACCACCAGGCTGAAACAAGTTGTTAGCATCTGCTGAAAAAAATGAACCAAGTTGTTGGTTTTGTTGTTGTTGTTGTTATTGTTGTTATTATTATTGTTTTTGTTGTTGTTGTTGTTATTGTTATTGTTATTATTATTATTATTAATGTTAGCATCTGCTGAAAAAAATGAACCAAGTTGTTGGTTTTGTTGTTGTTGTTGTTATTGTTGTTATTATTATTATTATTATTATTATTTATTAAGCCACTGAACTGAAAATCAATTATCCCCCCCCCAACCCTAATCAAGCAGTGCCTAGCCCGATGCCTTCTCAAGCCAAGCAGGCAGCGTCAACCTCACAGCACGTTCAGCCCTGAAATCCCAAACGAGCAATTAACCCAGCAGGGAATAGTTACAAAAACTCAGCTCCCGGGGGAGCTTTAGCTTCTTGTCAATAAAACGCAGGCGGAGGAAGCATGGGGTGCTGCAGCGTGTTTTTTCCAGCCAGTGCAGAAATGGGGTTGACCTGGCGTCACCCAGGAATTTGGGGACAGATGGCGAGGAAGATATTCAGGCTAAAAAAGCCTGTCGCTGCTGAGCTGGGGGCCGGGGGCCCAGAGCTCCTTATATCACACTTTATGGAGAGCTTGTGAGCACCCAGAGCTTCTGGCTCCGTGACAAAATACCACGTTTCCTTTCCGCTCGAGCTCCGTACAGCATCTTTTGCAAAAAAAAAAAAAAACAAAAAAGAAAAAGCACTATTTCTTCTTTATAGGCTAATATAATAGGATTTTTTTTTTGTTAGTTTTTCCAATGCATCCTAAGAGAAGTTCATGCCCATGAGTCCTAGTTGCTGTGTTTCTGAACTGGCTGCGACGTTGAACTGCGCTGTAATCGATGGCTGAAGAGAAACCCCCATTTCTGGTCTGCCCTCGCTGTGCTCAGTGTTTTCTGTCCACAAGAAAAGTGGATGTTTTTACCACCCGGCTGCCGGTCTCAGACCCCGTAGCATTCACTCCGTGTTTGTCTTTCCCTCTTCTTATAGGACTTTTTTTTTTTTTTCCTGGGGGAGTTCAGTGTTTTTTATTGCCGCTTACTGTTGTTGGGTTATTCGTAGAAACTTGCGGAAATTGGAACAGTTCTGACTGTTAAAAAAAAAAAAAAAGCTGCTGTTACAATGTTGTACATCTGCATGTAAAGTCGAAATGTGATTATATTGTATTTATACCTGTAAATTCCCTAAATTAAAATGGGAATTTGGCAAATGCAATCCACTTTTTCAGTAAAAGAGACTGTGGCACAATAAAATAAAAATACTGCCTCGTGCTGAGGTATTTTAATAGCATCAGCGGAAGACTGCAGAATGAGATGTGGGAATAAAATGCGCTGCTTTCCAAAAGCCTTCTGGATTTCTTATTGTTGCTACTCCGGGGTGCTCATTTTGGGTTCATTTATAGTTATTCTTGTGCCTTTACGCCGTCCAAGTTTCCTCAGCGTGTGATCGCGCGCTATAAATACTGTCACGGATGGAGGGACTGAGGAGAGACAAAGGGACACGAGGGCCTGAAGTGGCCGAGTCCTCTGTACGGCTCGAAGTGTCTGTGGTTCTTCTCTGCAGTGATTTCTTTGGTTAATTATTTAAGCTGATCTGGTGTCACTAATGTGACTGCTGTAATTTTAGAGTCATAGAGTTGTCCAGGCCGGAAGGGACCTCCAAAGGTCATCTAGTCTGACCCCCCCGCAGTCAGCAGGGACACCCCCAACTAGACCAGGTTGCCCAGGGCCTCGTCGAGCCTCTCCTTGAATATCTCCAGGGAAGGGGCCTCAACCACCTCCCTGGGCAACCTGTTCCAGTGCTCCACCACCCTCACAGTGAAGAACCCTCTCCTAATCTCCAGTCTAAATCTGTTCCCCTCCAGCTTAAAGCCATTGCCCCTCATCCTGTCACTGCAGGCCTTTCTAAACAGGTTCTCCCCGGCCTTCCTAGACTCCCTTCAGGTACTGGAAGGCCTCCCCGGAGCCTCCTCTTCTCCAGGCTGAACAACCCCAGCTCCCTCAGCCTGTCCCCGTAGCAGAGGTGCTCCATCCCCCTGATCATCCTCGTGGCCCTCCTCTGGACCCTCTCTATCAAGTCCATGTCCTTCTTATACTGAGGGCTCCAGACCTGCACACAATAGTCCAGGTGAGGTCTCCCCAGAGCAGACTAAAGTGGAAGAATCACCTCTCTGGACCTGCTGAACACTTAAACACTTAAAAACACTTAAGAACACTTAAAAATAAGATGTTGCTCCTTATTGAGAGTTATATTATAAAATTGTGGCGTTATTAAAGGACTGAATACAGATTTTATTTTACAATGTTAAGCATTTGTATAACCAGCTGTGCCACACGGCAACCCTGGGAGGTGACATAAATGTTATTTTTTACCTGTTTGCTCCGGGGGAAAGGTGTGTAACGTGCCCGTGGTCGGTGGTTATTGCAGAATTCATCCCCAAGCTCCGCACGCGTGTGCCTGCAGGAGGGCTTTTCATTCCAGGCTAATGAATGAACCTGCTGCACAATGACTGCTTGGAGAATAAATATTCATTTCGGTGACAACGCACCCTCGGGTGGCACCTGCTCCGGCACCGCTGGCACACGCACTCGCACGCACACGAATACACACGCAAGGGGAAGATGAAAACCAGACTGGCTGTCTTTCCTAAAACATATTGTTTTCTCAACGGGGCTAGAGGGAGGCCAGAGCATTTGGAGGGAGGGAGGGTTAAAATTTCTAAGGATAAGGAAAAAAATTCGCATGCCTCACCCACAAACCGAGCGTGCATTTACCGTCACTTCCAGAAAGGAAGATGAACAGCAGCCTAAAAAAAAAACAACACAGGTGAGGGTGAAAGAAATTTTACAGTTTATTAAGCAACACTCCACAGCCCTGTGTATGTCCAGGGGTAGTTTATTGCCGATGCTTAACAGCCTCCTGTAATTGGATTATGGCTGTTTGCTGCAGGCGGAGGCTTCGGTGGGCAGGAAGGTGCAAACCCTTCAGCTCTGGTCTCTAAATTAACATTTAAACCTCTTGCCATTTGCCCTGGGGAAGGTTTAACACCACAGATTCCCATCTCCTTGCCCTCTGCCTCCGTCCCCTATAATTTCACGTATGGCTTTGAGGTTTCTTCTGTGCTTTCTTTAACCTGAAGCCTCCAAGTGCGGTGGGGGCAATCAACCCTGCCTCTCAATTAGCAGCAACGTTCACGCCTCAGTAGATTGCTGGAGGTCGTCAGGAAGCTTTCCACTTCAACCTCTCTCCCATCCTCCTTTTCTCTTCCTTTATTCCTGCTGTATTTCCCAAATCTTGTTTCCAGTGTCCTCTGCAGAGCACTCGCCACAGAGGCTGCTGCCGTATTAGTATTATTTTAATTTTTTTTTGTTTCTAGAAGGGCAGGGAGGGGATGGAGCAGCCGGACGGTGTGTGTCCAGATTGCTCCTTGCCACCTTTGGGCATGTTTCCTCACACCAGCTCCCGATATAGCTCAGCCGTGGCTGCCTACCAGCTCCTTGTGGAGCCACTCCAGGGCTGCTCACCAGTATCCTGGGGAACTGGGACAGGGCTGAGCACAGAATCACAGAATCACAGAATTGTGGTGGTTGGAAGGGACCTCAGAGATCATCGAGTCCAACCACAGAAAAAAAAAAAAAAAAAAAAAAAAAAAAAAAAACAACAAAAAAAAACAACAAAAGAAAAAACCACCACCACACCACCTAAACACACAACAACAACCAAACCAAAAATCCATCACCCACCCACTCAGCAGCCCACGACAAACCAATAATCTTGGGCACTAGAGCATGCCCTGAAGAACCATGTCTACACGTTTCTTAAATACCTCCAGGGATGGTGACTCCACCACGTCCCTGGGCAGCCCATTCCAATGCCTGACAACCCTTTCAGTAAAGAAATGTTTCCTAATATCTAACCTGAATTTCCCCTGGCATAATTTGAAGCCATTGCCCCTTGTCCTATCATCTGTAACTTGGGAGAAGAGACCGACCCCCGTCTCTCTACAGCTTCCTTTCAGGTACTTGTACAGAGCGATAAGGTCGCCCCTCAGTCTCCTCTTCCCCAGACTGAACAACCCCAGCTCCCTCAGCCTCTCCTCGTAAGACTTGTGCTCCAGACCCCTCACCACCAGTATCCTAGGGAACTGGGACAGGGCTGAGCACCAATATCCTGCATTTGAATAGGGGGGAGAGAGAGAGAGACTGTGCCTGAGATGAAAGGGGGGTCGGTCTTTTCTCCCAAGTCACAGGTGATGGGACAAGAAGAAATGGCCTCAAGTTGCACCAGGGGAGGTTCAGATTGGATATTAGGAGAAATTTTGACACTGAAGGGGTTGTTAAACCTTGGAATGGGCTGCCCAGGGAAGGGGTTGAGGCACCATCCCTGGAGGTATTTAAAAAACAGGTTGACATAGTGCTTAGAGACATAGTTTAGTGATGTTTTTTTATCAGAGTTAGGTTGATGGTTGGACTCGATGATCTTAAAGGTCCCTTCCAACCTAGACAATTCTACAATTCTGATACACATGAGGGAGAGGGGCCAAATGAATGACCTGACTGGAGGGAAACCAGGTGTATCAGTTATTCACGTTCCTGTGATTTTGTTCTTACTGGAAAGATGCAAGAAATTCTTCTCTGGGCATATTAATTTTGTTGATCAGTTTGCCCTTCATCAAATAAAAGCAATGTCACTTTTGTGCTCAAAATTGCACCATTTTTTTTTTTTTATCAGGTGCTGATATTGATTTATTGATTTTGTTACTGACATGACAAGACAGATTTCAACAATTCTTTAACAGAATTCAGGATTTCTTTGAAAAAAAAAGCAGTAAATGCTAAGGCCACAGACTGTTTGTTACCTGATATGGGAGGGGGTCAAATGAGAGAGAATAATGCTGAAAAAAAAGCAATAACTGCTCTGGTCACAGACTGTTTGTTACCTGACATGGGAGGGGGTCAAATGAGAGAGAATAATGAGCTGGAACTGGTCATGATAGTAAACCAGTCAGGTTTACTGGCTGCTGTAAATATT